TCAGGGTCGGTGGAGTAGGATTGCGATACAGAGGCGCGCGAAGATCGAGGACATGGTGTATTTTTCCGCCCTGAACAACATGGGCCAGAATATGCAGTGGCTCTGACGTTACGAGACGAGTATGCTCTTTCATAGCATCCGATTGGTTAACATCACACACGAAGCTGTCTTTCGAACATATTGTTGTCCACCGACCCTTCTCGTCTTCTGGGTTCTCAAGGTACCAAGGCCTCTGAAAGGCCCTGGCGAGGAACTCCAGGTTGTTCCGTACACCGAGGTTATATCCCGCTCTCATGACTTGCCCATTTTGATCTTGTGATGTTTCGCAGCAGCACCAAATTGCCTCGCGTTCCAGGAAGCATATCGTCCTTTGAGACAGGCACATCTCTTGCATCGTCCATGCTCTAGAATCCAAGACATTGAAGTTGAGTTTATCGGCCGGTCGGCATATCTGCATACAGTCATCGACGAAAGTGGGGGCGGTGATGAAAGCCTGTCCTTTGTAGTCTCCAAATGATGTCGGCAGTGCGACAACATCGTTTTTGAAGTTCTCAGATGGACGGAACGGGACAAAGATCCCGGTTGAGGAGTCGTTGGATACTGATGCTGCCAGTGTCACGGTGCTATCATGATAGAATGAGCCCATGAGCGCCGAATGCTCTTCCCAGTCGCTTTGCGAATCTTGCACGATACACAGCCTGTCGATAAATATGTACTTGATACCAAGCCGACGGCAAGTAATGATGGCGTCTTTGAACGTCTTTGGCAGCGCGGCCCAATCTATGGCATGCATATGTGCTTCCAGATTCTTGGTCGTGGTCATACCTTCTCTTGAATGGCCCCAACAATGACTCAGAGTCACATAGCGAGCGTATATACCCTCTCCTCGTACAAGATATGGGCTTTCACCCTCTTCGGCCACATATATGACTCGCTTTGGCAATTTCGGAGTATCGTTGCGACACCTCGTGTGATTGGTCTCACAGTTGGCCAACCAGCGCTTGAGGACATCGAAATACGCCTGGGAAGGCAAGTCGTTTAGTTGAACACGACCGGAAACGAAGGAGTATTGTTTGCCGGGCAGAATGGGCTCTGAGCCCAACTTGTCGCCTAGAGAAGGTAATTAGACAATGGCCGATAGAACAGCACGCTTCAGTACCTTCCTCGACCGACAAAATCATACAGGCTGCCGCCCGTTTCCACTTCGTCCAGATACCTACATATGAAGCGCCCTTCATCTTTGGGTGCCACGGTAACCAGCTGCCCGGGATGATTTGCAATTTTACAGAAGCTTTGAAGCCTTTGCTACCTTCGGGAGCAGTGACACATTGATCAGTGGTGTCTCCAAAATGTAGTTGAGGGTTCAGTGAGCTATCATTGGGGTAGTTGAGGGTACCGCGCAGCATCCTGCAGAGACGACAGCCTGCGGCCGATGCTTCCAATGCAGCCAGATCATCGGCATGGCGAAAGAAGTTCGGGGGGTAGAGATTCGAGAAAGTCAGGCCGCTGCAAAGAAAGCAAAGTGACATAGTGACAGCATGGAGCTGTAAATGCGATGACGAAGCAGACGTTGAGCCTGGGGACGGCCATTCTGCTGCCTGATGTTCGCTAAGGCGGGGCGTAGCTTCCAAGCTTGTCTCAGCTAAGGCGGTTCGCTACAGCGTGGCCATGTATGAACACTCTGTGATCGCAACTCATTGGCGTATGAGGACAAAGGTGTGGATTAAGATTTGATGTGCGGTGGAAAAAATCAAAGGCTCCAAACATCAGTACCAGCGTTGCGACTGTATGGGCCTAGTGCGTTGTGGAGTCTTGGCGCGCGGGAAGAGCCGCAATTACTCTGGCATCACCGAGACGCGACCAAGACATAGCACGCATACCCCTCGATCGCCCTTTCCTTGCGCACCATGACCCGATAGCTGATCGTTCTTTTCCTCTTCTTCGTACCATTTACAATCTCTCACCATGGCGTCGGCGGTGTTTTTTCTCGACCTGAAGGGCAAGGTATGGCGGTCAGGCCTCTGGAAGGGCTACCTATTGACCATCGCATAGACCCTTCTGGCGCGCAACTACCGCGGTGACATCCCCATGTCGGCCGTCGAGAAATTCCCCATCCTACTGAGCGAGGCCGAAGACGAGAGCTCGGCAGTCCCACCATGCTTCTCCAGCGAAGGCATCAACTACCTCTACATCCGCCACAACAACCTCTACCTCCTCGCCCTGACCAAGCGCAACACCAATGCGGCCGAGATTCTCTTGTTCCTCCACAAGATCGTCGAGGTCTTTACAGAATACTTCAAAGAGCTCGAAGAAGAGAGCATAAGAGACAACTTCGTCGTTATCTACGAACTGCTGGATGAGATGATGGACTTTGGCTACCCACAAACCACCGAGACCAAGATATTGCAGGAGTATGCATTTCATACAGCTGTAGTATGACTCTATGCTAACAACAACTCTGTAGATACATCACACAAGAGTCGCACAAGCTCGAAATCGCACGCCCGCCCATCGCAGTCACAAACGCCGTCAGTTGGCGAAGCGAAGGTATCCGATACCGCAAGAACGAAGTCTTCCTCGATGTCATCGAATCGCTCAACCTCCTCGTTTCCGCGACCGGCAGCGTGCTACGATCGGAGATTCTGGGTGCTGTCAAGATGAAGTGCTACCTGTCGGGTATGCCTGAGTTGCGATTGGGTCTGAACGACAAAGCCATGTTCGAGACCACCGGAAGGGCTACACGAGGAAAGGCCGTTGAGATGGAAGATGTCAAGTTCCACCAGTGCGTGCGATTATCAAGATTCGAGAACGACAGGACTATCAGCTTCATTCCACCGGATGGCGAGTTCGAGCTGATGAGCTACCGTCTGAACACACAAGTCAAGCCTCTCATTTGGGTAGAGTGCATAGTCGAGAGCCATTCAGGCAGCAGGATCGAGTACATGCTGAAGGTAAGCAGGTCTCTGGATAACGGCATGTAACAGGCTGACACGTCGCAGGCACGAGCACAGTTTAAGCGACGAAGCACCGCCAATAACGTCCAGATCTCGATTCCGGTCCCCGAAGACGCAGACACTCCTCGCTTCCGAACAAACATAGGCACCGTACACTATGCGCCTGAGACATCCTCCATAGTGTGGAAGATCAAGCAGTTTGGTGGCGGTAAGGAGTTCCTCATGCGCGCTGAACTTGGTCTACCATCGGTGCGCGGTGATGACGAGAAAGGAGGCGGTATGATGGGAGGCTTCGGTGGTAGCATGGGTGGTGTTGGCGGCGGAAAGGCCAAGAGGCCCATCAACGTCAAGTTCGAGATTCCGTACTTTACCACATCAGGTATCCAAGTGCGGTATCTGAAGATCATCGAACCAAAGGTAAGGAAGAATTATCATGATATGACAGGCAGTGGCTAACATACGCGCAGTTGCAATACCCGTCGCTACCTTGGGTACGATACATTACACAGTCAGGCGACATCGCTGTGCGGTTACCCGATGTAAATTAGAGGTGCTAAGAGCGCTGGCGATGAATATACCAATACGATTATGAAACCGCTTTTCATGTACACTGCGTCGTTGAATGCGTCTCATGAAGGAAATAGGGTGGTATATGACTACGAGTGAGGACTCGTAGGGTCTGGAGAAGTACCAATGCACTTGACGCTTTCGTTGACGTGTTGTGCCTGACATGCACGCACACGACATGCTAGTACCAAACTTCATATTCGACATTGGACAACATGCCTCTATGCAGTGTAGCCTCGCATGCGCGGTCCGCCTCATTTTACTTGTGACTTTTGATCTGCTGAAATTCCTGACCTTACCCTTTGTCATTTCTGAGGATTGTCTCGTGCAATAAAAGCGACACTATCATTACGAGACAGTGGTTCAAAGGCAACATGCATGGAAGTCTTGCAGCTCTAGAGGTTAGTCGGCGTCACGAGACAGTTTATTACTCAATCCTAATATCAAAAAGACGCGTACATCGTCGCACACAAGTCATACTCGAGCGTAATCGAGCAGCGATGGTGGTGTCAGAGTGAGCGTCTCGTCGGTGCTTGCGCCTCCGTGTCCGCCGATGATCGACAGTGGGGTCTCTGCATCATACGTTTGGGTATAGTTCTCTCGACTCAACCTCAACTTGCGACAGTTCACTGCCAAACTGAATGCGCAACGTACACAATGACTACAACCTTCTTGTTGTGTTAAGCAAATTTAATCTCAGCGTCTGCCTCTAGTAACGTGAAGGACGCACGCAATTCCAACAACCGACATATGTACGCGCGGTAATACCACAGCACGTTTCTCCGCGTTTTCTCCCCACCTCCATTCTCCGAAAAAGCACGCTGCAGCACATCTCACGCCGCCCTTTCTGTTTATAGTCACAAGCCCGTTTTTCGATATACGCCATCTAACCAATCACCTATTGCCTTATCCATGTTCGACCAATGCAAGTTCATCGTCAAGCTTTGATCGCCTGTTTGCGAACTCCACCACGCTTCGCTACGGCATGCCACAAGGCTGAAAGCCTGACCCTGCATCACCACCATGCCAATGACGCTTTCTCGGGAAACCTGTCCAGCTGCCGAGACAGTACGTGTATAGGCTTGCGGACGCGTAAGCTTGTAAGCGTTGTTGCTTGTCATCTCTGATCCTACGCTTCTTTACCATTCAGCGTAAGGTGGACTAACGCTCAGCTGAGCCTCGCGGGCCCCCTCCGGACGCGTTTCTATGACGGAGTAGCAGGTAAGCTATGATGGCGTCCAATGAACGGGTGGGCCGCGTATGTCGTGTCTGAGGGTATTTGTATGCTGCGGTGTTCGCGTGTGGGCAACGTTTTTTCTGGAGTTAAGGATACACAGGCACACAAGCACGACCGACACTGACAGGGCTGGGTATCGTTGCACTGAGTCGGTTACTGCATACTGCTGTTATTACGTCTACACGACATAACAACAACGGTCCTCCGGACACAGACACGAATACCACGACGCCTATACCACCATGAAGTTCACCTTCGCAACCATCACAGCGCTCATCGCGCCTATCCTCGGTCAGAGCATCACGCCAGCTCCTACATCAACGGATCCGTGGTATGGTTCCGGTCCACCATGGGCATCCTCCGACCCAGGAAAATGGTCTTCGATTTATGAATCCCTCCTCTCAGCCGGAAAGATCCCATCGACTCTGACCGCCGCGCCCTGGCCAACCGGTAGTTACGGACCGGGCCAAGGACCCTGGGGACCAGGCGGACCTCATGGCCCTGGAGGACCGGGAAGACACTGGGGAGGTAAGACACCCATATTCCAATCCCTCCCTCATACCCCATCCCCTTCCCAAACGACCCGAACCTCTACTAACCCATCCCCCTAGGCCCAGACGGTCCCGGCCCCTGGGGCTCCTCCAACTTCGGTCCCTACAGCGACTGGTCGACACGTTCAGACTGGCGATCAGGCCCCTGGACCGCATGGTGGGACGGCAGTGCATGCCCACCCTCTGACTGGCCCGGCTGGACAGCAGGACCCTGGAGTAGTTCTGCGCCCTGGACCAGCTGGAGCGGGTGTGAGGCTAGTACGACGGCGACGAGTGTTGTTACGACGACGGTGAGTGGAAGTTTGGTTACGACGACGGCGTATGGGTTGCAGGTTAATGCTGCGAGTGCGGTTGTGAGTGGGGATGGGGATGGGGATGCGGGAAGTGGAGCAAAGGGGAGGGTGACGGTGGGGATGGGGAGTTTGGTTGCGCTTGTGGGGTTGGGGGTGGGTGTTGCTGTGGGGTTGTGAGTTGATAAAGGGGAGGGATTTGAGGTGTTTGTGTCCTGAATCTCTTGGCTGGAAGCTCATTTTAGACTATGACATAAAGGGTCGTATCAGTGTAATGCCGTAGACGAAGTAACGCTCTTTCCCTTTGCATATCCTCATCATAATCAATTGAATACCATTTACATGTCGAAGTAAGCTGACTTTGCATCTGCTTGGAAAAGGGACGTGTTGAAGGGCGATAGTATGTATCTCACAACTCTAATATATATCTTCGGCAAACCAGACGTAATCTCCCCAAGACTGGATTTTCAAGAACTCATGTTCCCAACTACAACATCCTCGTCATCTTCGCCTTCCACCCCGTCTTCTCCGCGCTTCCCTGCTCTCCACTCCCCACACTAATCCCCTCATCCACCACACCCGCCTCGTCATAAATCTCATCCGGATACACCGCCCTATCGATAAACGTCTCCTTCGGCGGCGCAACAACCATCTCCAACAGCCCATACACCAGTGCCGTCGCCGTGAACCCTAGTAACCAACCAAAGCTGTACGGCCGAGCACCGACACCAGCATCAATAGCCGGATTGATAGATTGAATGAACCCCGGCATATTCGGTGCAACGCCAACGAGAAAAGCGACAATAGCGCGCCAGTTGCAACCGGCGGTGTACTTGTAGATGCCATGATATTGGTACAGCGCCAAAGTATCATACTTCCCACGATGCACAACCCAAAAGTCGACAACCATAATCGCCGCGATCGGACCCAGGAAAATCGCATAAGCAGCCATGAAGTTGAGAAAGCTACCCGCGGATGCGAGAATCTTCCAGGGAACAAGCGCCCAGCAGAGAACCGCGCAGAGAAGCTGGCCGCGGCGGATGTTGACGTAGCGGGGGAACAGGGCGGTTAGGTCGTTGGCAGCGGAGAGCGAGTTGGCGGAGATGTTGACGCCGAGAGCGGCGAGGGCGAAGGAGAAGGCGGCGAAGAAACGGGCGGCGCGGTTGTCCCAGTGCGCGATGAGGGCCATGGGGTCCCAGTCCAGAGTACCGTATTTGACGGCGCCGGCGGAGGTGGCGGCTACACCGATGAAGGCGATGAAGGTGAAGACTATGGGTAGGAAGGGCACGTAGATGCATTGCCATTTTACCGAGACGCGGGAGTAGCGGGAGAAGTCGGACTGTAGTTATCATTAGCATGGTAACAGATCTCCAGGCGGAAGTTCGTAACGGATTCCATGGAGTGTTAAGAGAACTTACCTGATTCACAGACAACGTAGCATAATTCCCAATAACACTCGTCAAACTCGACAAGAACCCCCACGAATACGCACTCCCCGTCAACGTAGCCTTCTGATTCCACATCTCACCTCCCCCATCCGTGCTCACGAACGCCCAGATCAAAATCGCAATCCACGCAATCGGCACAATGATACTCTTAGCCATAAATAGCCACCTCAACTCATTAGGATGCATAACCAGAAACGGTACACTACCGAGCCAGAAGATGAAGAAACTGATCATGGTCGCTGTATCGATGCCTTGGCTCTCAGGGATACCGTTCTCCAGTGTGAGGAAAGAGGGCCAGATGGCGCCGATCATGACGCGCACGGAATTCGCGCCGTTCATGTTTTGGATGGCGAACCAGAAGATGGCGAGGATGGCGCGCGAGACGATGGCGATGTAGGAGCCCCAGAAACCCCAGGAGGCGCGGGCGATGACGGGGAAGGGGACGTGGTGGAGGACGCCGATTGCGCCGTTTAGGGCGATGACGAAGGAGATTATGAAGAAGGCCAGGGCGACTATGCCGAGGGATTCGCGCCATGTGAGGCCTTGTGGTGGTGTTAGTTTATCCAGATTGTATTTGATGGGAAAGTGGTGGATGTACCGATTGCGATGATACTCGATGCGAATTGCCATGTTGCGGCGCTGGAGTACTGTTAGTATCTCACATTTGTTGAAGTTTGATAAAGATGGAGAGAACATACTTGAATGCATCCGACACCCAATACGAGATGAAGCTCGTTACACCCCACTTCCTGCCATGCCTCGGAACAGGGTCAAGATCTTTGTTCGTCCTATATACCATCAGTCAGTACGAAAAATCCATCATCGCGCATCTCCGTTTCCAATTCGGACCTACCATCGCGCATTGCCTTCCGCAAACGTGCTCTTGGGTTGCTCAACCCTGAGCGTCCAATGCGGCTTCTCGATCAACGGCATCCTGAAGCCTACCGTGCCAGCCACCAAGAACGTGGAAGGGCTGTAAAGATGGGAGGACCTTTTATCCTTGAGGGTCTTTCCGCGCGACGGACACAGGCGCCTTCTTATCCTCTAGCAGCACGCACAGTCTCAGTGCAGATCTCCGAACAGCGGGCGCCCAGGATTGACGTTACGTCTATATCTCTGGCAAGGCGACGATAAGATAAGCGCCACGAGCCGACCATGTCAACACTTCGTCTAGAGACATGGATCGAGACTCAGCTGGACTAGACGAACGCCTTGAGCCTTTCCTCGCAGCCTTTTGCTCGACAAACAGCCACTCACACAGCTTGTCATGATGGTTAGCGGCTGTACCCAAGGTCTCGGTCCTTGGGAAATGCGACCGTTGCTAGATGGGGCCGGCTGTCATTCGACGGTGGTGCAGGTGCAGATAAGCACCCCAGTCGGTTCGGTCTTAGCGAAGGCGCCGCTCGGTAGCGCTTCGGCTGAAATTACCCCAGAGAGGGTGATCCCCACGCGACGCGATAGGTACGATGTCTCCTCCACAGATACACATATATGTGACGGCTCTAATCAATACGAAGAGAGTGATATAGTGTATCGTAGTACCTACTAAGAGTGCAAGCGTTTGACGAGCTTTGTGGAGGAGGGGAAAACCAGTGTGTCTCGGTACTTGGGGCGCATGCACGTCGCTGCCGACTACTGCACAAGCTGGCCTGGATTCATGGGTCAGTCGCGTAATCTCGTGCATACGAGAAGTGTCATTGAGCTGAACACATGTCAAGAGCCTCGAGCGGCAGATTGAATGGGGGTCATTTGGAAGAAGCTTCGTGAAGGCAAGTACGTTCAAGTTCATCGCGTTTTGCTCAATGCGCTAGCTACACATACGCCAAAGTATGGTCCTCTCGGATGGTCGCATTCACGCCTAGGTGGACCTCACCACCCACAACCGATGAGCCAGTGACGACTAGCTCGCCTGCGGTCTGCTCGTCTGTTGTCTTGAGATGTGGTGTATCTTTCAACTTGATCTCCACGCAGCTGAGGGGCACACCGAAGTGGCTGTGCTTGTTCGATGCTGTCTCCCTCCGGTAATCGTAGATGTTGGTTTGCGCAACGGCTCCCGCTACCTTGGCTGTGGTCAAAGCGTATACGACACGCGCCTTGGTGAAGATGCGTAGATCGGAGAGGTCCTCTGAGCTAAGTGGTGGTGTGTTCAGGCCTTGTCGTTCAGACACAAAGACCAAGCGCAGCTTTCCAGGTGTTGTGCCGACAGCCGCCCTCTTGGGCGCATTGAGCTTTGTGAGGAGATTGTCGGTAGGCAGGCGGCCAGCAGTCAACATGCGCGTCTCGAGGTAATGAGCCAACTTCTGGGGGCCACCCGTTACGGATGTCTTGGTGGTGTTGTGAAGCTTCGCAGCTGTTTCAGCTGAGACCACTGTGACCGTAGGAGCGATGGAGCGTGTTGCCAGTTCCAGATCGACACCCGGACCGGCAACGGACTGGATGACAACCGTCGCGTGAGAAAACAGAGCAACCAGCGTCAGGCACAGACAGTAGGAATGTGTAAAGGCGTCTGCGGGAAGGAACGTATCCGAGGCATTAAGACGGTGGGCGGCAGGGAGGGACGTGACAAGTGCACCAACGGCGGCAGTCAGATTCTGTTCCCATCAGTACGTGCATATGTCAACATGGTAGGTTTACGTACCTGTTGCGTGAATTCGACAACCTCTGCCGGCTTTCCAACGGCTTCTTGCCAGAGGAAGACAACGTTCCGAGGCTTGCCGGGATTCGACGGCAGTGGTATAGTGGCATTCTTCTGTTCCTGTACAAGCTCGTGCCAAACAGCAACATCGATCTTTCCACCGATGCCTTCGGGTACCTCGCTCCAGTCCATGTGCCTGCTTGTCTTCTCCACAGTCCAGACGATGGAGCGCAGGCCGGACACGCCCTGACTGAGTTCAGCAAGAGGTACAGAGCCTGCCTCGGCGATGAGGGCATCGGCTTTCGTTTGAAGGAGGAGTTCGGCAAGGGTCTCGTGTGGTTGGTTGTATGGGACCAAGATAGGCGTGAAGTCGAAGAAGGCACCGGCAAAGAGTGCAGAGAGGAACTCGAGGCTGTTGGGGAGGTAGATGGCCACTCTCTTAGCACCGCGATCTTGTAGATGCTTCCCGAGAATAGCAATCTCCTTGGTAACGTCTTCCACCTTGTGCTCGGTAACGCCTTCCTTTCCGAAGACCGTCATGATGTTTGCAGTGCCGCTAGACTTTGCGCCCTTCTCGAGAGGGATCTCGCCCGTGACACGTCGCCAGATATCGCGAAGATCTCCATCTTTGCCGGCCGAGTACATGGGAGCGCCCGGGGGTCGTACGGCAAGACCGGTGCGGAGAGGATCTGCTGCATGTTAGCTGGAACGGCTGCAAACATATGGTGGGGTGCTCATACAGCCATGAGGAGTTTCGGGAGAGCGGAAGACAGCAGACTCTCCCGGCTGCCTGACATACGAAGCTACTGCCTGTCTGGCGAGCAGCAGCGGGTGTGTGTCGGCATCG